GGAGGGGAGGAGGGGGGGGAAGTGAGGGAGAGAGCAAGGAAATGATAAAAAACCTGTCAACCTGTGTTTTCGAGGTTATAGGAATTACTCTAATGTTACTTCAAGGCATGGTGCATGCAATTTTGCCAAGGAAAAAGACAAAGCTTCTCTATAACATTGATTACTTGGGTGTTAGCAATTAAAGTGTTATTAAGACATACTAATTAATTGTCTTAAATCCCAATAGTATCCTTCTGAAAATTTTTTTAAAACAAGGGGGAATCTCATCTACCTTGATAAAAGATGAAGAAATCATCTTATGAAAGTATGTACCTAATAATCTTATGTCTTTATCTCCTCAGAATCTAACATTTAAATAAGGAAATATGATAAAAGGAAATAGAGACAGATCCTAAGATGAACACTCATTTGGAGAAGCTTTCCCCATGGTAGCAACTATGCTATTGAACTCACATTTAAAGCAGTTATATATATTATTAGTTATAAATAACATAAGAAACATATATATATAAATGCAAATAAAATATTCTCTCCAGTTCTATGTCAATTAAAAAAATAAAAATAAAATGCTACTCTTCTGTGCTCACATATATTAATCTGGCCTTAATAACTGATTAGGCAACTTTTAACTTCATATTATATCTAAATTGTACAGATATTTCCATACAAAGCTTCCTCACATTTGACTATTTTGGGGGGGGGACAAGAAAGAAAATGTCACTGTGAGCTGCTTGACCGACACACTGCACCTCATCTTCATGTGGCTGGTCTGCTCTGGAGACATTTCTCACCTAACTCACCCAGTAGTTAATGAACCCATTACTTCACCCGAGTGCAAGCGAACACGTTTTAGGAGTCAGCGCACCCTCTCAGAAAGCACAGCTCTTTTCCTCTGTGTCTTCTCTGGGTTAGAGTTAGTAGATGTGGAAGCTCACATAGTTCCAAAAAGTCCTTTAAGATGAACTGGACAAGTGGAATTAATGAGGTCTTTAAAAACAAAGACCTCAAATGCAGATGGATATGAAGCCACGTGGGCTTCTTCTCAGAGTGTCAAAGGAAAATACAATTCTAGGCCACCCTGGGGGATGCACATAAAGGCCACCACTTTGAAGATGGCACAGGGAACACTAAACGTGTGACCTCCAAAGGTTAATCTTTCTTTCACTGAGGCAAACAAACAGAGCTCTTGGGTCCCAAAGTGGCCAGCCAACGCAGGTTACTTGGTCCCACTTACTCATCCAGTTTCTGACATTTAAGAAGCTCTGTTGACTGGTGAGGTCGAACATTAATAAGAAACCCATGGCATCTCTGAAAAATGCGGTTGTGAGGCTCCGGAATCTGCCAAGAAAGCACAGTGGGTAGATCTGAAAGTTAGTCCACGTACCTATAATGGTGACAATACAAACAACACTATCTCCCTTTCAAATACGAAATCTCGATGGCATCCCTAATGGGTCACCCCACAGAAGAGGAGATTACTCAGAAAGGCTGCTCGAGGGGTTCTTCCTGAGACCGCGTGCTGGCTGCATGTGCCCCGCACTCACGCACAAGGAACCTGTGCCTGTCGATCGCGCGCCTGCCTACACGGCCCCTCGGACTTGTTGCTCACGGGCCTCCCGCGGTCCACGATGAAAAGGGAAGCCACTTTAGAACATTGGGACTTTAACTTCTAATTTTCAGTTGTTCTTGTCTGCGCCCGGAAGAAAGTTTGGCACATGGCAGCCTGAAAACGACTGCTCACGATTACGTGCAGAAAACCACAGCTTGTCAGCAGCTGGAACGAGGGTTCTTTTGTAGGAAAAACAGTGTTGGTGAGAAAACTCTTTTGTAAGCACTCTTTGGAGTTCAAGAGCGGCCTCCACGTGTCGTGAGGAAGAGGGGAGACGGTGAAGACAGAAGGAAGGGGAAGGTCCGAGAGGCTCAGTGGCTGGGGAGGGAGTGAGAGCACTGATCTCCGATGAGGACCCTGGAGACTGCGTCTGGCCCGGGCCCTGTCCTGGCTGCCTCGGCCTGTCCTCCCCCCCCCCAGCCTCAGTGAACAGGACCATGTGCCGAGGCCCACTCCCATGTCAGGAACGGGCCAAGCCGGACACCACGCACGCAGACCAGGGAGGCTGGGTTAAGCCGGCAGAGAGGTGCCTTTTTAGAAAGGCACATGACTCTGCAATGAAGACGACCGGCACTTCCTATCCTAAATGCCCTAACTTGGGGCGCCCTATTGCAGCTTATTTGTAGATTCTTCGGTTTCAAAGTTCTATTCTCGACCCCGTCTTACTCTACACATGTTCACTGGGTAAGCTCATCCACTTCCTGGCTCAATTATCACCAATACCTTGAACCCCAAATTTACAGATCTGGATCTTTCCTGCCTTCACACTGTGTGCCCAACTGCTTGTTGGGTATTTCCACTTGGAGGGAACTAATATACCTCCGGCTTCCCTTGTCTAAAACCAACCTGGCATTTCCTCCTGATTCCCTTTTCTGTCAACGGTACCCCCATCCTCCTGGTTGCCACAGCCTCTTTCTCCGTCACCTGCTGTGTTCAGTCAACAAATGTGTCGCCTTCTCTCTTCTGTCCATGTTCCCTGCCACTAGTCAAGCTTCGAGCCCATTATCTTTCACCTGGGTAACTTCAACGGCCTTCTCAATAGGCTTCCTGTCTCCAGTTTTGTTTGGGACCCTTCCTTTCCCTAGTTTCTTCCCTCTGATTACATAAATCCTCTGCTGAAAACACTTTCATGATGATGCACTGCTCTTAAGATAATGACTGAGCCCTCTAATAAGCTGTCCAGGCTCTGCGTGCTGTGCCCCTTGCTCACCTAGCCAGATTCACCTCTGGACTACCCACAGGCATGCTGAGCTTTTCGTTCTTAGAAAGTTCACTCTCTCCCCTGGGCTTTCACACACGCTGTTCTTTCTGTGGGTAACATTTCCTTAGCACTTCCTTCACCTCCTACCCCTTAAGCCTGAAAAAGACTCACTCATACATTGTGTGTGTGTGTGTGTGTATATATATATATATACACACACACACACAACGACATCAGAGAAAATGCCACTGCCCCAAGCAGTCTTCCCAACACCCACATCTGGATTATGGGCTCCTTCTGGTACACCTGCCTATTACCCGTTGTTTTCCTGTCACTGTCCTAAGGCTATACTGCAACTGTTTGTTATTTGGCCATATTGCACCCTAGACTGTAAACTCCAAGAGCAATGAGCTGTGTTTCTAACTTTCTGTGCATTACATTTTCATGGTCCTGACCATAGTATTTGCTCACTAAATGTATGTCAAATTAAGAGAAAAAAATCAAGAGAATAGCAAAGCATATAAAATTAGTAAAGACTTAAGTGACTTCAATAAACAACAATACTTTTAATAAAAAAGCATGGAAAAGAAATATTTTAATGACTATTTCCAAATTAGGATATTTTTCATGAGACATAATCATGATTATGAAATACCAAAAATTGTACTTGGTTTTTTCTTCTGGATTTGTTCCTACCAATCACTGGAAACTCAGAGATTATAGTGCTTTTATTGAATGGATCCCTCTCTTTGGGGACTAGCTGTGCTCATAAAATTGTCTCTTACTCAACCACAATAGTGTGGTTAACTCAACCACAACAGCCTGCTCTCTCCTCTCTCCATGAGTGTGTTTCTCTGTGTGTGTGTGTGTGTGTTTTATTTGAGTATAAGACTGTGTCTTATTCCCATCTCACTGCCCACAGACCATGACAAAGTTACTTAAAACTCGCTTGTTGTACAGATCTGACTGNCTTACTCAACCACAATAGTGTGGTTAACTCAACCACAACAGCCTGCTCTCCCCTCTCTCCATGAGCGCGCGTGCGCGCGCGCGCGTGTGTGTGTGTGTGTGTGTGTTTTATTTGAGTATAAGACTGTGTCCTATTCCCATCTCACTGCCCACAGACCATGACAAAGTTACTTAAAAACTTGCTTGTTGTACGGATCTGACTGCGGCAAATATGTTTGCATCCACAGCAACGTGGACAGAATACTCTTAATCTGCACATGGCTCATCNGTGGCAAATACGTTTGCATCCCTGGGCCATTCTTCCCCGGTCCCCTTGTTATTTTCCGTTCTTTCCAGGACTTATTCCAGAGGGAAGGTAACTGATTTCCAGCTTCACCCACCAACCTCATTCTGTCCGCAGGNCTCTTAATCTGCACATGGCTCATCCCCTGGGCCATTCTTCCCCGGTCCCCTTGTTCTTTTCCGTTCTTTCCAGGACTTATTCCAGAGGGAAGGTACCTGATTTCCAGCTTCACCCACCAACCTCATTCTGTCCGCAGGGTGGAGAAACCTAGGAACCCATAAAAGCCAAACCAAACCCCAAACCCCACCAGATCCCAGGGTCACATTATTGCTTTTCTCCCTCCCTGGGGGCGAAGGCTGTGCCCTGTGTTCTTGAGGCTTACCTAAGGGGTACTGTTACCCCCCCTTTCATCATATCACTTTCATCGATAACCANGGGCGAAGGCTGTGCCCTGTGTTCTTGAGGCTTACCTAAGGGGTACTGTTCCCCCCCGCTTTCATCATATCACTTTCATCGATAACCGCTATCTTATGTGGGTTACGCTGCCAGGCGTCCTCGCACAGCGTTGAGGTGTGGCGTCGCTCGATTGTTGCTTAGCTACACGTTGTATTTACAGAATGCAGGATTCTCAAGGGATGAATAACCCCATTGTTAGCAAGACTGGCCCTTGTCCTTCCCACTTCCCTCAGGAGCAGCTGTCCTCGGGGGGCAGATGAGAGAAGCCTGCCATCACGCTAGGCTGACACATCATGTGCGAAGACATATGGGAACCACATTTTCTCATATTACTCCTTCAAAGAGGAATCAAATTGGTCTACAAAACACACATCTTTGTGACAACCAAACTGACATATGAACAGAGAGTCTTGTGAGGAATGGCTCCAGCAGTACCAGCAGTGTTGAAGGGTGTGTGCAAATGGAATTCACAGTCAAAAAAGCTAACAGAGAGGGCCCAGCACCTCCCCTGGCGTTTACACTCACTGAAGGCGAGAACATTTGGACGCATTTCAAGCACCGCAGTGTTTACAAGCATCAACATTCTAAGACACGCGGTGCAGAATCTGGAGGTATGTGCCTTCTAAATATCTTATCTTGACAATCTATTGCCAATTTTTATTTATTCTGATACCGAAGAGCTTCACTAGCTTGGGGTCTTTAGCACTTTTGAAATCTTGCATCTCAAAGAAAGATCTTGTCATCAAATAATGGAATAGCACCTCCAGCTCCAGGCAAGCAACACTACTGTCTACCGAGTGGCTCTTATCTTGGACACTGTACCAGAGGTGACACTGAACAACCAGGCATAGCCTCTGCCCTTAGAAATCTGACAGTTCTGTTGGGGTGACAAGGCTACAAGTGAATCAAGAACAGGCAGACACAAAATTTGTTTTATCACAAGGTGGTAAAGAATTAATTGACTTCAGGGAAGGAAGAGGCAGCTTATTTCAGCTGGGTTTTCAGAAAGGCCCCAGAAGGGGGGATATGAACCAGGCTGGGTAAAGGAGAGGACCAGGGAAGGTGGGAAGGGAATAAAACATCCCAGCTGGAGGACTGCTGTGTCCAAGGTCTCAGAGAACAAAGCTAGTCAATGGCACAGGAAACAGAGGCTCTGCTGAAGAACAGAGAGAAATGAGGGAGATCTAAACACACTTTCCTTCAACTCCCTCTTCCAGCAGCGCTTGTAAGTGTTAATTTCCCACCTTAATTCAATTAAATTCTGGAGAAGCTTTCCCCCCCTGCATTATAAAGTAGCACAATGTCAACATATAACAAGAATCTTCATAGAGATTTTTGAAAATCTAATTTTTGAAATTTGAACCAAACCCACAATGATAGTTTATGGTTAATTAACTGCAAATAATTTCTTTTTAATTCTCAATACAAATGTTTATCTTAAAACCTGGGGGAAGAGTTGCATATAATGTGGTTAATAGTTTTTTTCCTGTATACCCAAAATCAAAACAAAATAATACTGAAAGTAGACTATAACTAAAAAAAGTAAATAAATAAAAAATAAAATAAAATGACTTTTTTCTGAGCTATTTGTAGCTAGAAACAAAGTAATTTACTGTACCGCTCTTGTCCTGCAGTGTCCCAAAGCTGAAGGTGCACCTTAAACGCTTTCCCTGCTGATCCATTTGGCCCCTGTGTATTATAAACCTGAAAGATATGATTTTCATCAGCTTATACTGCTTTGGATTTTGTCAACATTCAAATTCTCTGGGTTCACTCAGCATGTTTTTTCTCAATTACTATAATCAAAGTTCATAGTGCAGGATAAATATTTGCTCTGTTTTTTTCCAGCAGTATCACATACACTCTCACTTTTAAATGTCAAGTACAAGTATGATTTTCAACACAATTTAGGCATACTGCAAACTTAAATTAGACTCCTTCTGGCATTTCCTCACGGAGGCAGCACACATTAGATTTAGGACCCAAGTTCTAGGTTCAAAAATCAACTCTTCATTTAACCTCTCTGACTCTTATTTCATCACCTGAAAATTGAGACCCATAATCTCTCCCTACTTCACGGAGTTACTGAAAACTTAAAGGACATAACAAATGTGAAGGCANGACTCTTATTTCATCACCTGAAAATTGAGACCCATAATCTCTCCCTACTTTACAGAGTTACTGAAAACTTAAAGGACATAACAAATGTGAAGGCATTTTTTTAAACAGTAAAATGATTTACAAACACCTGAATATCTTTTACTGTGCGTTGGACTNATCTCTCCCTACTTCACGGAGTTACTGAAAACTTAAAGGACATAACAAATGTGAAGGCATTTTTTAAACAGTAAAATGATTTACAAACACCTGAATATCTTTTACTGTGGGTTGGACTTTCAAAACAACTTAGCCATGACATATGCACAGAATTTCTCAATAAGGTTGCACAGGATATTCCATCTTTTATTAGCTAATTCTCCCAAGGCTTTTTTAGAAAAGTTCAAGCTTTTAAAATTATGGTCTTTTGACTTCTTATTAAGTAAAACAATTTTAATATTCCTCCAGTTCCCTTAAGTATGGCTCAGTGAAAATGTTTTAAAGGGAAAACTACAAGGACTTATACCTAGACCACTGGGGGCCTCAAGGAGGGAAGAAGGTGAAGGAAAACCCTGTGTGGGTTGGAAGCAAGTTTGCTTAGACTACACTGTGGAGGGTCGACTGTCAGATAAGGTGCAGGACATCATATGAAACCATGATTTAACTTCTCAACCATCATTTCCTTTGTTGTTTTTTGCTCAATTTGAGAGAAATGAATAGATCTGTGACATCAACTGGGAGCCTCAGCCATGTTGGCAATCGAGGATACCTTGGGTGGCAGTAAATCTGGCGGGGCTTATGTGCCTATGCTACACGTCTCACATGTCACAATATCTTTATTCCTGTCATTAGCGTCTAGCATAGTAGAGGGAAGTGGTTGTAATTCTCACTTAAATTCCATTCTCTTGGAAAAGAGCATGGGTTGGTCTCACATTCTGTTCATAATCAGCTAGTGATTGATGGCTGAGTCCACACATAAATAAAAATGCAGCAAGAACTTACAAAGCTCACGTTCCAGCTATTTGCCAATCACTCTTTCAATGTCTTTCTGAAGAGTAGGAAATGAGCACTTGTTCTTATTGAGGGACTTAATTCAGATTAAGAGTTAATGTTTTTAGATCCTGGATAATTCAAGTTTTGAAAGATTCCTTAAGAATTCATAGAAGACACACTGTATACACCCATAAATTATTTATTTTAGTTGCCTTGTATACTTTTGGAGACAAGCATAGTGTCACTCAACATTTTTCTATGCAAAATGTTCTTTATAGTTGAGGAAGTAAAAAGTGACATAAATTAAAGTGAGAGGTTATAAATTCCATGTGACAAAAGACAAACACCTTGAATGCAATAAACATAGCTTCTTAATTCTTATTTTATCTGGGGAATTAGCAATAAGTTTAACAGTGTAGGTAAGAACTCACCACACGTTTTTCCCGAAAGTCTATTCCTACTGTCGTGATGAACTTGGGATTAAATTTATTGTCTGTGTATCTATAAAGAAACGTCGTCTTCCCCACACCCGAATCTCCAAGGGCCAGGAGTTTGATCAGATAATCATAGTCCCCATCGGTCATAGTGATGGTCTTGTTGGGCCTGTGTAGAAGAGGAACAATAGTTGGTTAGGTTTCAAGGTTAAAACTTTGAATGCCTTCATTCTGCCAAGTGCTCAATTAACTTGTTCTGAGCAGCTTCAGGAGTAAGGGCACATCAATTAATTCTCTCAGTAGAAATCTTTTTACATCAGGTCAGTTAGTATGGAACAAAAGCTATATGATATCCACAATAGCATTGCACAGCAATAGCAGAAATTAAAGTCATAGCTTTTTGTTTTAAAGCCCTTTGGGATCAGGGGTATGGTGCTGGGAAGAGGTGAGAGTCACAGAGGGAACAGAAAAACCCAACCAAGGCGATGCAGGCATGCTAGAGAGAGACCGAAATTATATTGGGGGAGTATCTAAAAATAGTTAGATAATTCTAAAAATTTTCTACATGTAAGAAAATGATATACATGTTCACCAATTTCAACAAAACAATTTCTTTTTACATTGTCACTTTAGTTAGGTCAAAATTAAAAGATTTTATAGCTTTGGATACATAATAATAAAGATGATACATAATTAGGTACTTAGCAAATCAGTATCATTACATCATTTGGGGATTTGTAATATTTTTACATTAGAGTTTTCTAAAATTTGAACCATACTGCTGCTAAATCCTGCTAAATTTATTATGGATTTATGTTTAGTTAATGAATAGTTTTTGAAGAAAGGTGTTTTGAGAGCTGCCAATGCATAATTTTGCTCTAAAGCTTTCCTTCCTTCCTTCTTCAGAGTTTGGACACTCAGGGTGAAGTTTACTGACCATGAATGTTTACCTTTTCTTTTTAAATATCTATACAAAGTATAATCATTGCTCAGGAGGAGACTCATCAACAACCAGCCTTCCTTAACAAGAGGAAACATATCTCACCTAACATGAAATTCTTCTTGGAAAATGTCTGTATTGGTTGACTGCCTGGCAGCCCCTAGTTCTGAGTTTGAGTGGTTCTAAATATGTTACCAGGACTTTAGAGCTGAATATTTTGCTCCTTCTAGTCTTTCAGCCAAATGGGTTGCTAAGGAGGTTGCTGCTAAAGTCGCATCATTTCCCCCCATTTAAAGCCTGTCGCCACCACATCCCTCTACCTTCTATTCATTGCCCCCAGTCTAGCTTGTGTAAAGCTTTTACAAAGGGCAATAAAGGCTGTCATTTCACTAGAAGACTTGGATGAAACTGTTAATTCTCATGGAAAAATAAAGAGATTAATATTTATTCTAACTAAGATATAAGTGACCTGAGCCAATTTTTTTTTCCTGGACACATACACATTGATAAACTGGGGAAGAAATTGAAGCCACTGGCTACCTAAATACAAGCTCAAGTTGGAGGATACTGTGGCTCCCTGGAAAAATGAAAATAATGTAGTCAAGAAGATCTATCAGCACACTTTAAAATTTTGCTTAAAGTTAACTATGTTTCTTGCAATATGTTTGTGACTGTGTCAGTGAAGGCTAAGGCTTGAGCAAATCTAGTTAAATATCTTGAATATATAGTATCAGATTCAAAGATGAGAATTCAAATAATGTAATTCATAATCTAGTTCCTGACAAGGCATGCATGCACTTAAAACTTAAAGATGCAAGAAAATGCAACATAGCTTGACAAGATGGAACATGACTAGTTAGTTGATAAATGAGTCAAACAGTTGTGTTTTTAGTTCCAACACAACAGTAGTCCTCATGGACCTCAGTGGTCTGAGAAGATTCTGTAGAGGTAGAGAACCTTATAGCACAGGGAGGGATTAGGCACAAGGGGAGGAGATACGGGGCCACTGCAGGGAAGATCACCTCCCACTTGTAGAACGAAACTATCATTATTTGCCAATTACAAGACCTATCATGTGTTTCTGATCTGGGCCAATTTGTTCTCTGTTGTTTGTACATAAACCTGCTTGGACAATCCTGGGGTTGCCTCCCAGCCAGGCTTCAATCCAGAGTGAATAGTCCTGGGTCATGTGGGTCAATTCCGCTGTGGCCCACACTAGCTCTTCTCTATAAGTAAAGGGTGGGAGACACAACCCTTAACACTAATTCCACCTGAAATAAATGCGAAGCTTGGCACTGTGGAAAACCTTTATTCAGTGTCTTTAGTAGACTATTTAAAGAAACTGACAGATCAGGCTAGGCATGAGAGAATTCCCCTCTAAATTTCTTTCAAAAGCAAATTATATTTCTCATTTTCTATCACTACTCACATCTACACATAATTCTTTTTTTATTTAGTTTGTTTCCTCTTTTATTACCATGCGGTTTTCTGAGTCCTAAAATCATATGATCTCAATATTCTATCCTTAGCACAGCAAGCACACCACCACAGAGGAAAACAAAGGCCTTAGCAAGGTTTCCTCTTCCAAGAACTGGGCTACGAAAGTGATCTGGGCAGGATCAAAAAGCTGACAAGTTTAGCAGTATTGTTTATTCCTGCGCAACGACTCATGGTCCTGTCAGTTCCTGGTTCTGTGGATCTAAATCGGAGGAAAAAGCCAGAAGACAGCTGTGCTTCAGGAAGGGTGTCTGACTCTCCCCCATTATCAGCGTCACAAGCTATACCACACAGGCCAGGAGGCCTTTTAGATACAGAAACTGAAGCGTCATTCTAGAGCCTTTCATGGGAAGGTGCGGGGCTGGGAAGAGTAGGGAAAATATTCAAAACACCCACGAGGCTCTATTTGATGAAGAGTCTTAAAGGTGGAAGGAAATCTAAGCAATCATGTGAGCTAGCCTTCAGTTTCTAGATGTCATGTGACTTGTAGGGTGACAGTTTCTAACAGAGGAGAATCCAAAACTATTGGTCATTACAATTTGAAATGAAAAGTGGGTTCGATAGGTAGAAACTATCGAACTTTGAGAGCGAAGAAAATCTTCTCTGGGTATTAATAGGAACATGATTTTCACTGTTAAAATATCTCCAGGTGGCCCATAGTTTCTCTCCTTTTTTACACCCTGCTATGCTTCATTCTTGTTCAATGTAAATTCCATTAGTTCAGGAACTTAATATCCTCTGTCCATTGCTGAATCCACAAAGCCCAGTATAGCAATCAATGTATAATAGGAGCTTAATACATATGTGTTGAGTGTACAAATATATTTAAGCTTCTCAGGGCTGTGCAAATGTCACGATTAATCAATTCATCATAGAGAAGTTGGTGGAAGTGGTGCCCCTCCAAGTTCAGGACTTGTATTCTCCTTCCTTCTTCATCTGTGAAGTGAATATTTAGATTAAATAATTACTTGGTACTTTCCACATCTGGCTTCCTGAGCTCAATTTTCAATGATAAGTTGCACAAGAGTATAAAAAAACTTCTCAAATAGAATATTTATATCATCAGAGGAGCTGTTCCAAATAACCTGGGGAAATAATGAAGTATTAGAGAGTCTATAATTTTTGAAAGTGAGATTTGTGCTGGCAGAGTTTATAAACTTGTCAGGTGAATAGGTCAGGGTTCAGAGAACTGGGCTCCTCCAAGAAAGCCTCCATTCCCCCATCTAACATGCACTCACGGGCACCTCTTATTTTGTATGATTTTTGCATGGTTCTGAGGATACACTCTGCTTTTTCTAGTGGGAAGCTTAACAAATGCTACAGGTATGTATGGATGACCACTATACAGATGGACTTACCCATGCAAACTTGTATTCTTGGCTAGTTCTCCAAGTAACAATCTTAAGAACATCATGACAAGCTATGACCTTGTGACTTGAACTTATTAAATTAATGCAAACCAACTTAATAGTCTTAAAGCACTTTGGAGAGCTTATAATAATAAACAAAATGTCGGTGATATTTTGTATTCAGTATACACAGTTTCAATAAAATAAAGCTCACAAACATAAAATGGACAGAATTTTAATAGGTCCTCATTTACCTTTGATTGGTTTATGTTGGTCTCCAATAGGTATATTTTAAGATCTAGGATTCTCATAGCAAGCATGCCAATTGTCTGAATGTTAGCCTGAAGGTAGCTCTTGTTTACTGACCTTCAAACACTGCTTCCTAAAACTACATTCATTGTCCTGGAGGTTGGAGCTAAATTATGATGGCTGAAGTCCTCTGGGGGCCTATCGGCTGTGCATCAGTAACACAAAAGGCATTTTCTGGAGGGAAGGGGTACTTTTTTAAAAATATTTTTAGTATATTCTATAGCATCTTGTTCTGTTAAGAAGGTTTAATGAACGTAATTTTTATCTCAATTCTTCTTAAAGGCTATTTAAGATTAATGGGCCTGAGCTTATATGGAAGATTCAAACCAAATTGCAAATATAAGTCAACATCAAGTTAATCAAACAACTTTTATTTAAGCTGGCAATGGTCAATGTGTCTATTGAAGCAATCAAATGTATTTTTAAAATTAAAACTGCCCATTTTGTTTTATTCTGTGATCAAGAGATCTAATAGAGATAAAGCAAGAATTTATTGAGCTGAATTTCAGCTTACTTATCCTGAAAATAAAGAGTAAAAATTCTAACACAAGTTGGTTTCAAAAAGATTTATCTCCATTGATATATCATTCTCATATCAGAAACTCACTGCTAAGACAATACATATGTTTATTTCTAAAAAACACTTTTTTCTAAAAGTAACATTTTTTTCTTTTGGCTTAATTTTGTGGTAGCTTTTGAAACTATATGGACTTTCTTCCTTTATTTCCTTTACATTTTATTGCAAGAAATTCCAAACATATACAAAACTTGAGGGAATAGTAGTGTGCCCTCATATACTGCTCACTCACCTTCTAAATTACTCATATATGGCCAATCTTGTTTCATGTACCCAAAACTCTACCTCTACCAGACTACTCTGAAGCAAACTCCAGGCACCATAACATTTTTTTTCATAAATAATTCAGTACATATCTCTAAAGATTATTCAACTTAGCTCTATTGACATTGCACCTACCTAGGGAGAAGGTAGTCAAACATTTGAGTTTTGGGGTATTTGATAGGTCAGAAATCATACATTAATATTGTTTTAGCCTGTCCTCATACACAGATCAA